GGGGACTCTAAGGGAACTAACAGCCAGTCCATACCATTGCTGTGATTTTAAAACTGTGTTGTCCACTGGATGTGATGTGGAGGGGTCAAAAGCCAGAAGTTGAAGTAGCGGGTTTAAAAATCATTAAATTCAACCATTTCACTTAAAACTATCCATTTCCTTTTCAGTATTTCTTTTAATGTTGTGTTGTAAGTGTTAAAAGCTTAAATAAACTTGTGTTACAGTGTGTTGTTGAGAAGCAGGACTTAACTAATGTGCTTCTAGATCTGTAAACCTCTGGAAAGTGTTTATGTGTTTGAAGAGATGGAAATGGATAATGGCGTTTTGGTGTCACTTTGTAGACTTCTTTTTAGTTATGTTACAAGACTTGTGAAGCACCTAGCAACCACATCTTGGATAGGTATAGGTCTTTCTGAAAGTGTATATTGGAAGAAGGTATCTTCATCTTAGGGAAAAGAGTTTCTTTATAAACTCAGAAAACTGTGGTTCATTTTCTACCTCTGTTGTGTAGATGAGTTGAATTTGAATTTATGCTAAATCTTTGTGCTTGGGTAGGCTTGACCTGCAGTGTGTGTCCAATGTAGGTGTTCTTCCACACGTTTGCCATCTGCTCTTTTACTTAGATATGCAAACATTTTGCACACTCAGCAGCTGTACAGCCCCAAGTTGTATGTAATCAGACAGCAGTCTTCTGTTTAAAAAGCTTGGTAGTTCTTTGGAGGTTTTGGCAGCATGAATTAAAGTCGCTATTCAGGAAAGTAGTGATTTCATGTTAGATGCTTGCTCTTGCCCTCAGGTCAGATCTGTGACAGTCAAAGGCTAGGCACACCTTAAATCTTAACGACGTGCATGTTAGTGCTCAGAGTGTTTTTGCTTACCCTTAGCTCTTCCTTTGTTGAGGTGATTAAAATATGCCTGTTGCTGTCTGGATGTGCCGCATGCTTCATTAACAGTGATTTATTTTGGAGTTTAACAGAATTGGCACCGTGCAGAGCACCATTGTGCAGCAGAAAAATTCACGTGAGATGATTGCTAAGGCTTGCTTCTTGCTACTGCAACAATACTTAGGGGTCTTGGGCATATTTTATGATTTTCCTTCAGAATAGTCACAAAACTGTGAATTGATATTGTGCAAATTAGATCTACATAAGTATTTGAGTTCAGAATCTGTCTGTATACTTAGCCGTAGGTTTTTCATTTCCATTTTGGTTTGGGTTTTTTTTTGCAAGTGCTAATCATTAAGCATCCAAGTGAAATTACTGACAAAGAGCCGTGCTTGCTAACTCCACACAACTCACCACAAATATTTCTACTGCATGCATCTTTTCTTTTTCTCCTTGTACCTGACTGCAGTCAGAGCTCTTGGAGTCAACTTTTCTCATCAGAATCCAATTACAAACAAAGGTGCCTTTCAAAAGGGTTTTCAATGGCTGCATTGCCAAAACTAAAGTTAAAAGACATCTGCCCATGTGTGTTGGCACTAGGATTTCTAATGGGATGCACTTCCAAACTGAAGCACAGCTATCTCATTTTCATCTTCAAAAAAATAGCTTGTGTAGTGCTGAAACTGTATATGTTTCCTTCTGGAAATAAAATATTAAACTTTGCAAGTTTTCATGCCTGTTATATTTTCCTTCAGAAGCAGTGCAAGCTCCCCTGGGATTTTATAGTCAGAAAACATTTAGAAATGGGAAGGATCTTTTCAATTATGTATCTTTTGCTCATGCACAAATGTTGCCTTTCCTAGAGTTGTTGCCATAAAAAGTCAATGTGTTTCAACAGTTTTTACACAGCTCTGAACAATGGGCCTGCTGATATGAATAGCAGCAATGTTTACAGGAAAACATTGTGAAGATTGGACTCATTCACATGTGAAATAGGGAACTATCATGAGGAATGAAAATGCAGCCGTATTTTGAACACGACCATATTTTAACCTTAGGAAAATATTTTTAATGGTAATCATTTAATTTACTTTTCACTACTCTTTATGCTAAGACAGGCATCGTTTCTCTTTGGGAAACCTGTAACAGATGTATCAGTAAAAGTCAGGGTGCAGGCTGGTATGTTGTTATGCAGGGCCAGGGCTCAGCTGGCAGCTGTGTCTCCAGGTACCTATTTTCAGTGCTGCTTCTGGAAGGGCTGTTTCAGAGCACCAGGAGGATGGTGGTTCTGAAGCTTTGCTATTAATCCAGCAATAGCAATTCTAGGCATGATGACAGAATGTGGTACTCTTCCATATATTTAGAAAATACTTGATAGAGACTCTTCTAGGAAATATATTCTGAGGTAATTACTACAGGGTATATACTTTGGCTATATAAGTACATGGAGTTGCCATTATCATCAACGGAAGTGCCAGCAGGAGCCTAAGTGCCATTACTAAGTTTGTTACTGCCGGAAGTGACTGTTCCCATTCAGCTATCTGAGAAGTTTTCTTTGAAGCACATGCATGACTTTCTGCTGTCTCCTGGTTCTCTGGAGCAAGTTTTGAACAACTAAATTATAGAGAAGACTTTCAGTCTTTTCACTGGACTTAATTAAATATGCTGAGTACTAAATATGTATATTTTTAGCAAAGCTTTTATTTTTGGCTGAAAGTAAGACCCAGGGATTGTGTCAAAGCCTCTTGGGAGGAAAGAAAGAGCCTGCTGTTTTTAATGCTCTTATGAACTAAAAACTAATTTACATTAGTAATTTTGAAATGTTTTGTATTAGTGTTAAAAATGCTTAGAGAAGCATGAGTTACTAAGTAGAAAAAAAAAAATGTTTGCAAGAGCCACAGAGTAGCTGAAATTTTTCCCAAAGGGGTGGTGAGTCAGGAAAAGCTCTGGTAAGAGGGAGAGTTTGCAATGGGGAGGAGCAATAAGTTGAAGACTATCCAAGAATTTTCTTGCATTTATGGAAAACAAGGGAATAAAATACCAAAACAGCAATCTGTGTTTAAAGAGAGTAGCAGAGATGTGATGCAAACGGCCTTGGGTCCTTCAAACAAGACATCCATCTCCATGGTCCTCCATGAAGCATTGTCTCATCTCTACCAAATCTCCAAAAGCACCATCCTCAAAGCCTGTGGAATAAATGGAGGCATTTTGTTTGACTTTGGTCAGATCTGGGGATATATATTTCTAGGGTTTTTAAAGAAAAGGCAGATGCAATACTTCCTTGCCAGTGCCGCTGCTTACAGACAGCTGAGAAGCTGAGTGCTGCTGTTATTAATCCACGAAGCAGAAGTGATTTTGGTCAGCCCTTCCACACACTGGCAGCTTAAAGATGGGTCTGTGGGGGCTCTAGATAGGTTCCTGGCAGTAGGTTAAGTTGGTAAGTGCTATAGCTCTTGTGTTTTTAATTAGGTATCAAAGGCTGTAAGTGATTGTTCTGTTTCAGTCCCACGTAGCTTATTGCAGAGAGTGAGGAGAATAATCGTAAAGCATGGCATTGCAGTGTAATGAAGAGAAGCCTCATAAGTGACACGATGAGCTTATTGATGGGAATAATACGTGCGAAAACGAGAACATGAAAGAATTTCAGCAGCTGCAGGTGAATACAAGATTGAGCTCCAGTCTCACTTAAACTAGAGTAAAACCAAGAATGACTTGCCTTCGGTAGAAATCTCCTGTATAGGTGCAGCTATAATCAATATTTGGGATATATATTATTCCAATAATATTTGGAATATATATTATTTGGTTATAACCAAAATTTGGGATTTGGTACTTAGAGGAAAAATAGTATATGTCCATGCATGAAGACCACATAGAGTAAAAAAAAAAAAATCACCCTCCACTAAGCCCCATCCAGCCTGGCTTTGAACACTTCCAGGGGTGGGGCATATATAAATATGTTTCTTGAGTTCACTGTAAACACAAAGAGTAAGTGCTTAACTGTGTCAATCAATATAAAGGTCTATGATGACGTTTTCCTTCAAAAATTAATAATTAATACTGTAATCATTCACTTAAGTTGTTATTAGTTTTCATTGATTAGTCCTTCCTGCCAACCCCCAGCAAGCCTAATCAGCCTGTGTGAGAGTAGTTGAATGCATTCAATTAATCTCTACCCTCTTCAAAGTTGGATCTTTAGATCAGAGGATAAAGATTCTTAGTCTCCTCACTGCATCGAACCTGACTTTATTAGAAGAATCTTATCAATTTTAACTCACAAAAACAAGCGGAGACCTCTCATGATACCCCTTCAAATGCTATTAGTCATGCAGTTTGTCTTATAAACATGAGGGCCCCTTAACTTCCAGCCTTCAGTGAAATTAATAAATTATAAGAATGTGTGTCTGACTTGATTTATTTATTTTTAATATTTAAATGCCTGCTCTGGAAAAGGTTCCTTTCATAAAAGGAGGCATTTTTTTCCCTTCTTGGGTTGCACTGGGGGAAGGAGGAGCGTGCTTTGCAGTGATAAGCTGAGAAAGTCTTCGAATTGCCTGTTCACAGATTTGAACTATTTACAAGTTATAGTAGAGTGCAAGGAAAAGATCAGGCTTTACCTGAAGATGCTTCAAGGGGTTTATTTAAAGGATTTTAAGAGCAATGAAAATGGCAGTGAAATGGGAAAAGCATCCCACTCTCCTGAGCAGCATCATAGAAAGTGTCACCTTGCAGAGACAGTATCCTTCACATACCGGGTGATGTTTGTAAATGAGAGTAATTCTTGTACCTTTTAACTGTGATCTGGAGTTCACTAATTACGCTTCAGATTACCCCAGGGAGACAATGAGCCAAGCTACTCATGAATAACCTGAGACAGAGAAGAAAGCTCACAACATCTGAGCAGAAGGTGGTGCAGATATGGGTTACAATTCATAATCCTCATCTGGTACCCAGGATCCTTAGATGGTCACAAATCATGCTGCAGAATGATTTTAAATGAAATGTTTAAAAGTGTTTGTTGGTCTTCAGATGCAATTTTCTTGTAAAGAAAAAAACCATCAACAAATAGAAGGAGCAGCAATCCTTAATCTCCTTGTAATCTTTTTTCTTTTACAGATTAAAAATCGCCTAAAATTTCCAAGGAGCCCTGTTCTGTCCTGTAGTTACTGGACTCAGCTCCTCTGATCCTGGAAGCTGAAGATGAGGTTGCTACGGGAGCTGCTAGTGCTGCAGTCATTCATGGTGTGCCTTGCAGGTAAATTGTCTTAAAGATTTATTTCACATTACTGTAAAAGTGCATTGCATTTTATATACCAATGATAAAATGTCAAAATAAGTCCCTGCTTCATGACCAGCATCACAGAGAGCTTCTGAGCTGATCAACCTGATGCTTTTAACAAGCTCTTTTTAGTGCTGATCATCATCACTGCAGCAAAGTGCAATGTTTCAAAGGTCTGCTCTACCCATTTCCAGTTCAAAGTTGCTGTTTGATGAAAGTTGTTTTCCCTTGCTCTGTGTTAAGTGTTTCAATGCTCAATTAAACCTACGTGGAGTGTAGCTTTAAATCCCATTAAAACGGTGTTATGTTACAGCTAAGACCTCGCTCCATTTAGCAAATAATTAGAATAACATATTTGAGCGATATAACCATCTTCTGTAAATACCCTTCTTTAACCTTTTGTTCCCTGAGAGTTACAGAGTTTTGAGCATTCCTGGCAAAATGAAACTTCTGAGGAATGTGACTTTATCCTGAAGCTGTGTTCTTGAACACATTTCAGATTTGCAGTGGGTCAGCAAAGTTTGCACCAAAGCCGTGCTGACCTTCTCACGTGCAAGGAGCTGCTTGTAGATGGCTGCTCAGTGAGCTGGAGGAGCCAGGCTCATTTCACTCCATTCGTGCCTCTGTGGCAGATGCTGCAATCGAGTCTGTCGAGTCTATTCTGAGTCTCTGCTATTCAGCTATCATTGATTTCCTCCTTGAATTAGCATCATTATTCTTTATCATGTATTTTGTTCAAGGGGGGGGTGTTACGTTTTAATTAACGTTTATGTCACCTTGGTGTTCATCTGGATTGCTCTAATTTACCTGCTGGTTGGTGCTCAGAATGTTTTACTGCTTGATTTAGGAACTTGTGCTTTCCTCCCTTTTATATGTGCCCGTTGTCAAGGCACTTCTTCAGCTTTCTAGGTAGTAGCAAACTACTTATAATAGTGTTTACTTTATTCTGCTTAGCTCTACTGAACACAAAACTGCTTTTATTCCGGTACTTATGGGTACCTATTTTTGAAATTTGGTTCCAAGTCTTTCTAAATGTGCTATGACAGTTTCTGAGCTGCCAGGAAATTGGATGCAGAGAGATTCTGCAATGCAGTGCCACACGTGTTTCAGGAACTGCAAGCCTAGAGAAGTTAGGCTGTGGGAATACAGAAAGCATGATCCTTTATTTTCAGCAAATAAACAAAGTAGTGGGAAAACAAAAGCATGCGAAATAGGTTTTTACTGTAATTTCTACTCTTAAAATATTTCTTGCAAAATGTCGAGGGTCAGCAAAACAAAGTTTCAGGATAATGTGCTTGGGGGAGTTTGTCCTTATCTTTTGTATCTGATTTTAGAAAAATGCATCTCAAGCACTGGCTTTCCCCACACTATTCAGCCACACCATTTTTTCTCATCTTTGCAGTGAACTGAATACCTTCAGGGCATGGCATCAGTTTATCTGTCCTGCTGAGGGAGATTTATGGGGAGAGGAATGCCAAAAGTTTTGTGCAAGATTTATATTCAGTGATGAGTGAGGGAATGGTTTCATTCTGCTGTTCGTTTCATAGTTGCTATTTAGCAGCTGCACACAAAAGGCACAAAGCTGTAAAACAGACGTTGATAGACAAACCTTCATCCCTTCTCAATTTTTTGTGTTTCTCTATTCTAGTCTTTTTTTTTAACCTAGTTTCAGGAGGCTTGCTTGCCCCTCCTGGTGAGTATGCTGCTCTTGGAGAACCTTAGGTGTTGATCCCAAGGGAAAAGCTCAAAGGAGACTGGTAACTTCCTGAGACATGCAGCAGAGAGACACAGGAGAGCCTGAGGCTGCCCGTTTCTCCTGCTACCCTGCACGGTGGCTCTGCCTAAAGGCTACCCAGGACAGAGGAAAACTGTCCCTCTGTCTGCAATAGTCATTGCTCTTCTGTGACGAAATTCTTAAATTCTAAGTTAAAAAGAAAGTTAGGAAGCAATATTTTATTTTCATGTTGATCAAACCATTGATCTGTCCTTGAGAAGGAAGATTAATGATTGAATTATACAAAGAAACAAAGAAAAAGGTAAAAATAGTATGCAGAAAAAATATGTAACAGCTCTCCATAGTGCCTTGTGGACTCTCAAGGGACTACTAAACTGCATTGAGTTACATGTGAAAATAAGCTTAAACCTGAAAATAGAGTACTTGTATTTAGTTCTTCTAACCAGTGTCAGACACATAGCCCAGATATCACTCTCGTTTGTGTCACTGCTGCAAAGAGCACAGCTGGTGGAGGATGAGCTTTTTGTGTGTTGCCCTGTCAAAACTCCCCGTGGAGACAAGAGGCCATGGTGCCCCTTCAGGGACAGCCGGTGGGCTCCAGCTACTGCCAGTCCCAGCAGCTACTTGGACTGGTTTTCCTGTGTGTCCTTCCTAAATAAACATCTGTTCACTAGAAATTGCATGAAAACTTCCAAACTCATATCATTCAAGCCATTAAACGGCTGTCAAACCAAAAACAGTTAGAGTATCCAAATGAGTCGTTAAGCGTACCAGTTATCCACCCCTGCCAGCATAGCAGGAAAGGGAAGACGTGCCAGAGCTGCTCACAGTCCGCATGGGATATTGCTATTGATTTTATGTGCTGGGTGTTCAGATATTACAGTTCTTCACAGCAGGATAAACCACTTGGATAGAAAGCTAGATCAATCCCAGGATGTACTTAAACGAGCTACATAGAGGTGCAAATCTACTAATAATTTCGGGAGCTATCCAGCCTCCCTCAAAAGGCAGCAGCCCTGCTAAAGGTCTTCCTGAGTTTACCACTCCCTTTCAATCCATCACCCAACCTGGGATCATATTTCTCAGACTACTTTTCTTGCTGGTTGTTTTGAGGTCATGCTGATAAAAGCTAATGATGCTTTCTTTGGACTCGATTGTTGATGTATATCAATTCAGGGGTTCTGATTATATTTTCAGGGGTCTTTTCTTCAGGTGTCAGCTCTAGGAAGCAGTAACTGCAAATTATTCCTTTGGTGCCAAATAACTCTGATTTGTTAGGGCTGTCAGATTCCTTAAATAGCAGTTGTGGTGGTGATAATTTTAAGTTTTGGAGAGTAAGATGAGAGGCAGAATAGGCTGTGAAAAATAACACATAGCTCTGAAGTCGTGACTTTGTTAACAAATGCTTTCTCTTGGGCAATCCCACATACCAGTCATATACCCTGAAATGAATTTGTGTACACCCTGGGAGCAGTGACATGAAAGCAAAAGACATTGCACAGTTTGAGCAAAACAGCTTGAGTTAATGAAGATGGGACGTAGTCCGTATGCCTGTAGTGTGCTGGACAGGAATGAAAGGAAATTTTCTGTGGTTTTGTGACTCTTACGCAATTCTTTGCCTCATTAACTTCCTGTAGCAGTGAGTTTCACTGTTGAAGTCATATCTGCATGTTAATGAGCTGCAGTTGCATAGATGGTTAGGTGTCTGAATGTGCATATGCATATTTTATTAGGTAATTTAACCCATGAAGATCCATTCACATTTTGACAGAAAACAAAAAAAGAACTTAATAGCTTTTGAGAAGTGTCTATTCTCTGCTGTGCTGTGCATGGGATCAAAGTCTGGCTTGCTCTTCTGCCTCTGATCTTAATATCAGCTTTTTCCTGGATGTTTTGGTTTCTGGCCTTCTGCTTATTCTTGCCATTTAAAAAGAAAGATCTGTTCTCACAACAAACATACCAGCCAGGAAGACTGGCCCTCCTTTTTTCTTAGCAAACACCACAGAAACACAACAGCTTCAATAAAAAAAATCGTCTTGTAGCTCTATAATGATGCTGCTGTTTCAACAAGTTGGTTTGTCAAAGGGAAAGTGCTATTGCAGCTGTATCTGTTCAGCACTCCTGGAGCAGTGACTGAAGTAGCTCCAAGGACGCACACACTGAAATACAGAATCTAGTGTTTGTTTTATCCTGATTTGAATGAATAAGGAAACACTGTTCGTTCTCTCTGATAAATTGGTGTCTTCATGAACCCCCCAGCTGTGTAAGCATTTGTTTTGCAGCAAATCAAATGGGATGCACAAAGATTGCTGGTGATTTTTAGTGGAACATTGAAGGTGATCCTGAAAGTTAGAAATACCTGTGCTGCTCCCCCAGAGTGGTTTGTGTAAGTCACTGCAATTTCTGTACACTTCTACACTCCATTACGTTTCACAATTGCCCAGGTATCTGGAATTAGATACTAGCCATGTTGCCTCTCACATCTGAAAAGGCGAGATGAATGAATATGGAAAAAAAACTACATGCGAGAAGTCTATACATCATTTCAGCCATCGGAGCAGGGGTTAGAGTGGTGTTTATTAATGGGCTTTTTGCTGGCTGTCAATACAGGGCTGGCTGTTACTGGTGTCATGATATCCCAGCAACACCCGCACTTAATTATTCAAATCCAAGGACAGCGTCATATTTTCCAATATCAAATTTTATCATATTTTTTATTAAGATGGAACAAAAGCATTGTTTCACCTTTTATCTGCTGAAAAATGACATTTTCTAACCTGGAAATATGCATACGATAGCAGAAGTCAGCGGAAAAAAGAAGTTCCTCTAGAACTTATTTGCAGTGTGTTGGGTTGAGTGTGTTGGGGGGGGGGGGGGGTGTAGGACGGGTTTCTTTTTTCTTTCCAAACCTGTTTTTCACAAGAAAGCATTCTTATAAATGCCTGTCCAGGCATTCTTTGTTTTTTTGTCACATGCTGATACAGCATAACCATTACCTCAGCAGTGGTTCAGTCCAAAATATTCAGAACATGGCTATGTAATTCATGGGGAATAAAATCCAATATATAGTCAAGTGTTTTCCGCTGTTAGACAAAAATAGCCATAATATTTATCGGTACATTACAGTGAAATTAGACGTCCAACTCTGATAAAAATTGAAACTCAAAATTCATACAAAGATGAATATTCACAGGCCTATTTGAGTTTGTGCTTCTACCCAAGCAGATGCAGGTTAGATGCA